GACATAGATTAAGCAGGATAGACACATTCCTACCTCCCTGAAGATATCAAACCAATAATTACAAATGCCAAGATCCTTCCTAGTCTGCTTCAAAAGGTTGATCAAATAGCCCACTAGCATATTTAAAACTAGTATATTCAAAACTTTGTGCATCCTGAGTATTCCTCTACTTTGGGCTAATATCCTGTGAAGAGTCACTGAAATAAAAATTATCTTAAGAATGGATTCCATTTTTAAAAGACAGATTTGGGGACACATGAAAGGATATTTATTCACCCAAATATACATACATAAAATGGCATATATAAGATGTACGTTTATTGTTATAACAGAATGATTACTTTAAAAAAATTGCTTGACATGTTGCTGAAATGAGTTTTACATGGTTGTTGGGCAAACTCAGATGGAAAACACAATTCTACATTAGCTAAATCTCTATGGAGAAAGTGGGTTTTTTCCCTCAAAAATTGAGGGGATAAAAATTGTTCCAAACCCAAGAATAAGTTGGGAGGGGATTTGGAGACAAGGAGCCATTGAGAAAATTTTCTCAGGCTGAGTAGGTGAGACACAAAAGAAAATAGATGGATTGCTTTTAGTGTTCCCTTCTTAAGGAAAGAAATAATTGTGTTGTTTGATATTTATTCATTTATCCTCATAGAACATAATTCTACTAAGAAACCCAAACACCAAACAGTTGAGGGATTTTCCTTCTAATCTGCACGTTAAGTCAATAGATGAGGCAGAACAAGAATTGGAGTTGCACCAGTACTACTTAGGCCCTGCAGGGACCTTCTGAGAACATTTTGGATTTAGGATAGGGCTTCTAGGAATACTGATGGAAAATCTTCCAAGTTTACCAAGGAGTTGGGCTAGCAGAATTTTGACAGCCATAGGCTGTGGATTCTAAATGGCAAGATTATGTGACATTTGACCCAGAAAGTCTGAAACTACACTTGGCCCTCTCTATTAGGTCCTCTTAAGACAGAAACCCTGATGGATCTCTCCTCCATCCTTTCTACCAGCAGACAGTGAGGTGAAAGAGACGAGATGTATTCCTTCCAAAGCTGTACATGGTGATGAGAGGTCTGTATATAGACTGATAAATCCTTGCTAATGATATTGAAAATAGAGTTCAGTGGGGCCACACACTCTCTCAGAGCTTTCCATACACCATTCTTTTAATTCGTGTAAGAGTATGAGGCTGGTACTATAATTACCCTCACCAATGGATGAGGAAACTAAAGTAAGGAAAGTTAAAGTACCCTGCCCAAGGTCACAGCCAGGAAGTGGCAGAGCTAAAATCTGAACTCGGATACTCTGGCTTTTTTTTTCTGACTCTCCTTAATGGTAGTAGGCTGGTAGCAGCCAGTAACTGTGGCCCACAGTAGGTGTTCAATGAACATTTATTGGCTAACTGATTACTGGGCTCATCGGGAGATCTCCTTGATATGACAAAAGGCTACCCCTAAAAGTGCAGTCAGATGCTGCAAATGTAGAAGGTTGGTTTTGTATCTGTAGGAGATGGGAACTTTATGGATTTTGGAAAATGTTCTTAAATTAGAACTGAAAAGTTATATTTTGGGGTCACATATCTCTTTGAATATCATATAAAAGCTAAGAATCCTCTCAACATAAAAATGCTCACTCACAAACTTTATGCATAATGTTCAAGACTGTTTTGATCTCTAGAACCGTCCAGGAACAGAAACAGTAGTTTTGTGGGAGTGACTCTGAACTTTGAATGTTGATACCTTTTACTTTTTTTTTTTTTTTGAGACAGAGTCTCACTCTGTCACCCAGGCTGGAGTGCAGTGGTGCGATCTTGGCTCTCTGCAACCTCCACCTCCCAGGTTCAAGCGATTCTCTTGCCTCAGCCTCCCGAATAGGTGGGACTCCAGGTGCACGCAACAATGCCCAGCTAATTTTTGTGTTTTTTGGTAGAGATGGGATTTCACTATGTTGAACAGGCTGGTCTTGAACTCCTGACCTCGTGATCCTCCTGCCTCAACCTCCCAAAATATGCTGGGATTACAGGCGTGAGCCATTGCACCTGGCCAATACCTTTCAATTTTAAGTGATTTATATGGATGCTTGATTCAGAGAAAACTGTATTCACATTTTCTGAGGTAGTTGCTTTTGTTTTTCTCCTTCAAGGGAAAGCTCTGCCAATGTTACAGTTAGTTGTGGTCGCTGACTGGCTGCCTGGTAACGGGACAGTTTGTGCATTCCATGGCCAGGGTCCAGAAAGGCAGAGCACACCTCTGGGGAGCGGATGTGTGAACCCCAGGTTTCTGACATGAACATTACTGATGCTGCCCCTGCTGAAAGACCTCATTATTATCATGGCAAATACTGGGAGAACAAAGGGACCATATTCAGAAGAGAGGGCTATCTGTTATTGTTAGTTGAATATTTTCTGGTTATGATATTAAGTTGGTCAGAGTATGACAGCATGCCTTTTTTGGCATCAGTTCATTTTGGCAGCTTCTCTTAATACATGAACTGAGTAGCACAACCTTACACACTCACAAGCCTCTATCTGAGTTGTGGTGAACAACAGCCGCAAGCTGTAGCCATCTTTTTGAGGACTTCAGTCTTTTTGGTGGGGCAGAGCTGCAAAGTATAGGGGAAAATAACATGCATTTCTGTATCTTTTGCACATTTAAGACTCTGGAAAAGGATATAATATGAATTAACATGAAGTCCTTCCATGAGATTGTAGAAATACAAGCAAGATTTATTGCTGGAATCGATGTGTGTCAGTTCTTAGCTAAAGACTGAAAGTATTTGACAACTTTGGGTTGGGTAATCAGTGGTTTCATGATCTCTGAAACCATACTACATTGTTTTGAGTGCAATAAGGACTCTGAGTGCAATGAAGACACTGGATGGAGTGATGAAGACCTGAATTCAGTTTTGGTTCTGCCATTAACAACCTATTTCATCTTCAATAGACAATTACCTCCTTGAGCCTCTTCTGAAAAGAAGAGGGGTTGAGCTATGAGATCCTCGCAAGGTTTCAAACACAGTACTATTATTTTATAAAAAGACAAGATTTCAGTTTTGTGAGTGTGTGAGTTTCTCCAGAGCACTTGAATCTTTCAGCTGAACTCCTTGAAATCTGTGATTCACGTTTCATTAGTGAGGCCATGAGACTTCCAAGTACATCACAACATATTGGATACACACAGAGATTGTTCCACTGAGAAATGAAACCAATGGTTAGGGTTTCTTTTGAATTTCTCTGTATTTTATTTTCAGGATCAAGAGAAGAGTATTCTTTTATTTTTAGTTTGCACTGTGATAGAAATTCAGGTAGTACGTAAGACCCATGTCTTTGAGTTTTCTTCTCTAAATTCAGCCTAATTCTTTATTTTATTATTTCTAGCAATAGCTATTATTTTTTTTCATCTGGGAAGTCTTGGGAGGAACTTGGGCCAGTTGATCGTAAAATGGCTTGAGAGGGATGGCCGGGCGTGGTGGCTCACACCTGCAATCCCAGCACTTTGGGAGGCAGTGGCAGGTGGATCACGAGGTCAGGAGATCGAGACCGTCCTGGCTAATATGGTGAAACCCCATCTCTACTAAAAATATAAAAAATTAGTCAGGCGTGGTGGCAGGCACCTGTAGTCCCAGCTACTCGGGAGGCTGAGGCAGGAGAATCACATGAACCTGGGAGGTGGAGCTTGCAGTGAGCTAAGATCACGCCACTGCACTCCAGCCTGGGCAACAAAGCAAGATTCATCTCAAAAGAAAGGGGTGGTGGGGAAGAGGACCTTGTTTGGATGAATTATTTATTTATCTTTTAAGCCACTTTATTTTCATGATCTTAATTTTCCCAAATATCAGCTTCATGCATCATGGCCTAAAGGCATTCTAGGAAGCAAACAACCTAAGCACAAAGTGGAACATTTAGCAAGGAATGTAAAAGGTAAAATTAGATAAGCTTTACTGTACTTATGCTCTCAAAAGAGAGAGTAAAGGGCATACAATATTTTACTGTTCACATATGCAGCCCGAGGGGGAAAATATGAGGGTATTAGTGATGTTGATATAAGTTGTATACCTCAATGTCACATTCGATATTGGTGCAGTGCTTTGGTTCAAGAACAAAATTATAATCTCGTCACACAGTTTTAGTATGTTGGAGAAACATTCATTTGAAAAGTTATATAATTATAGACATTTTCTTTCTTCCTATAAGTTGGTGACAATTTTGTGGATCCTTTTAAGAGTTAGGGTCTCTTTTGCATTTTGGTTTGTTCTAGAGGTCAATTCATGAAGTCGTGAATATCCTGATGCAAAGGAAGCCATTTTTTTGATAGATGCTTTCAGAGCTGTAATCCAGCTGCAGAAAAAAAAAGACACAGAACTGGCCATTACACAATTTGTTGGACTCTGGGGAGAAGAAATATTATAAAATCTTTTTATTTTCTAATTGTTTCTCTTGGTTAGTTAGTTTGAAATTCATAAGATAAACCATGCTCTTTAGATTGTTAGATTTAATAAAAATATACCAAATGTAGAATATGCTGTGGTACCAATGAAATATGCTAATATAAAAGGATCAGAAGAGTGTATACTGTTTGGAAATAGTGATTGAGCTATAATGTTTTAAAAATTGTTACTAGTATTTTGTTTCTATTTAGCTTTAAAGCTTAATTGATCAAACACATAGTAAACAAATATTGCCATCAAGGCAAAACAGTTCTTTGTTAAATTCTTGACACTTCAGCAAACATGGGATGATGTTTTATGAAACATGCCTATATAACATTTACTCTAAGCGGTGTCAATAGATGTTATTAAAAAAACCACACAGACACCAAGACAGTTTACCAGTGTTCTTTCCAGAAGTTTGTCTCAGAAACACTAATGTTGTGATTCTCTGAGAGGATATATGATTTGTGTCATTTCTTAAACTTACTCTAGGTGTAAGTGGGCACTTTGCGGAACCAGACTTTTATGTACTATGTAACACTCTGCTTTTGTGCTTAGAAATATTTCTGTAATGACTCGATTGTTTCTTATAAAATCCCCTATGGATTTGGCAGTGAGATCCAACTATTCAACCTCATCTCTTAGAGAACCCAGTGGATTTTATCAGATGGAAGTTAATTGTGTTTCATTGACCTTTTCTCTGATCTGCTAGCTGGATGGAGCCTCACCTTCAAGGGAACTATCTTAATCTGTCACCCAGATTATACAGCACAAGTTCTGGAAAGAAGATCCTGGCAACATATCTAGCAGTTTTATTCTCATGATCCTCCTCCTGTAGCTCATCTTTAGAAATGAGTGGAACAGGCAAGGTTTATGCAATGGGAGAAGGCCTAGAGAGATCCTTTCTCCATCTTCCAAATGATCACCTGATGGAAATTCCTGAAATTCCACTTTTAGAGTGTTATTCCTTTGGGTTAGTATCTGGTTCTCACAAATATCTCTGGAAGTTTTACCACGTCATGTGTTTTCACAAATTACTGTGAATTTCTTTATTAGATCCTTTTTACTGGATGGGTGAGGGATGGTCATGAAACAGTTGTAGGTAGGGATGGGAGATGGAGGACGCTGGATGTCTTGGGGATTGGAGTTAGGTCAGGGAGACTTGAGGGATGGAGATCCTCTAGGTACCAAATAACACTTGCTTGGCCTCATGGCTTTGTCTCTGTGAACTTTACTGCCCTTTTTTTCCCCTAGTATCATTATGAACTAAGTGCCCATTTGTGTGTGACAAGCTTGATACTGAACATATCATGAATTAGATAGACAGGTAAGTCCTATGTCCTTCAATGGCTTATAACAAAACCAAATAACTGACCAAATTCAGATAGACGTTTTAGTAAGATTTGTGTGAAAAGAGGTGAAACAGCAAATCTGTGAATTAATAAATTATAATATTTACCAATTATGATAATAGTGAATTTTTTATGTTGAAGCCTGGGCCAGCCAGTGACTTGGGAAGAATTGTGGACTATTTTTCCATTTGAAAAAATAATAATAATTCTAGAAGAGTTATCTAGGATGCATTAAAAAAAATCCTGGAGAGTATTAGCTATGAAGACTGCATAAGGCAGAGGGAGAATTGAACTGAAGATGTGAAGTTGGAGTTGGAAGTAAGGATGAGAGTTTGCTAAGAAGGCCTTTTCAGGACTGGTAAAGGAGAAGAAATACAAAGATCTTGACTTACCGTTGGTTTTCTGTTTCATTTTCTGCACAGAAATAGAAAGTCTTGAACTCTTCGGATGGAGGCTAGAGTTCAATTACTAATTGTTTGGAACTAAGGGTCTGTTCTCTCACCCTATATCCTTGCAGATACAGACAACCTAAAAAGGAAAAAGAAAAGTGAGAAGAGGGAAAGAATAAGAAGGATAAAAGATGCCTGAAAAGGTGTCAAGAAAATTTTGTGTCTGAAGGAAATGCTAGTCCAGCTGTCTCATTTTACAGATGAAGAATCTCAGACTCCAAAAAACATGTAATTTAAGGTCACATGATAATGATTAATGGCAAGACTGGTAATAGAATTTAGATTTCCTAGTTTCCATTTTTGCAATCTTCTTACTTCATGTTCAGTATTTAGCTTTGGGTTACTGTGTGCCCAAAATAACTTCTTTACCTGAAGGATACATTTTGAAATACAATTTTCTGTATCACAGAGTGACACCTGCAATATCACATTAAGAGGAAAATTAAATAATATTTGCTTGGGCAGAACCACTAAAACATCCTTCCTGAAGAATTATAAAGATTTCTGGACATTTCTGCAACTTACACGATTCTCACCTTATTTGTGCATATGCAAAGTACATTTAAAATATGAACCCACAGAGTGATATAAGAGAGAGAGCCAACTGAATTAACAATGAAAAGAAATGACTGGTTTAAAATTTAAGTTCTCCCTCGTGATCCTTTGAATCCATGTTAGTGGTTATAAATTGCTTGGCTTGAATCTTGTTTCCATTATTTGGGGGTCAGGAGACAGATCTCAATCCAGGAGAAGATTCTGAAAAAATCAAAACCCTTGTTTGCTTTTCATAGTGTCTTCATGCTCTGAGGCCAGCCTGAATCTCATGCACAGGCTCTAGACAATATGAGTAATGGCAATGATTAGATGTTTAAAGCCCTCTTGCTCACTCCTGTTCTCATCCCCCACATCCTCCCAAGAGCCACTTCAGTGCACTACTAACAGACAAAATATGAAAATGCCATTTGGAGTTTTGCCACTTTACCTGATAGCTATTCTATGCTAATGCATTACTAGACTATGCAGGGAAAATGTAGCCCCTTTGAATATGGCTGGCTTTTGTTTTCCTTTTACTTAAACTTGGTAACAAAGTACACTGTCGGGAAGACACAAATTTTTCTTTTTAAACAGAATGAATGACTTTTCAACTTTAAAAATTAGAAAAATTTGCTTACTTTATTGGCAGGGGTGGGTGTTAGATGCAATGTTAAATTTCTTTATTATTTTCATTTTTTAAAAGTCCATTTTAGAACTCACTTCAGAAAAAGCATTCATTTGAGAAATGACAATAGTAGGCTCCAGTAATATGGTGTTTTAAAAACTTTAAAAACTTTAGTAGGCTCCAGTAATACGGTGTTGACCAAAACAGGGAGTGATTTGTTTCTTTGAGCTAGATGTCTATCAGTCTATATCTGTGTCTATATTTGTATTTATGTCTCTATAATAGCTTTATTGAGATATAATCTACATACCATAAAATTCACCCATTTAGCATATACAACTCAATGATTTTAGTTTATTTATGGAGTTGTGAAACCATCACCATAATCTAATTTTAGGACATTTTCATCACTTCAAAAAGAAACTCCCATACCCACTGATAGAAGTGGCTGCTGCCCTCATGCCGGCTGCAACAAGGAAGAACGGCAGAGGCTGCACACTTCATGGAGCCAGTCGGAGCCCTGCCCCTTCTGAGCTGGAACGGGAGCTCCTCGTGTGGCTACAGCCACCCAAGCTGCAGCTGCAGACCCGGAGCTCCTCTTCTATGGAATAAGCAGGAGCCCCACCCTCCTGGGCGGGGCTATAGCCGCCCAACCTCAGCTGTGAATGGAGCCTCACTGTGCTCTTGGGGGACCCGGGAACAGGCAGGATCTGCCTTCCTGGGTGCAGCTACAGCCTCTGCATTGGTGGCTGCAGACCTGGGCCTCCTGCTCCAGGAGGAAGGCAGGAGCCGGGGACCAGCGGGAGACCTGCCCCTTCCCATGGCGGGGCGGGAGCTCTGGGGTGCAGCTGCAGCACTTAACATAAATGAAATCATATAATATGTGGTCTTTTGTGGCTGGCTTCTTTCACTTACTATGATATTTTCAAAGTTCATTTATGTTGTATTATATATCAGTAACTTCACTCCTTTTTGTTGCTAAATGATATTCCATTGTATGAATATACCATATTTTATATATTCATTGATAGACAGTTTTCTCCTTTTTTGGCTATTATGAATATTGTTATGAATCTTTGTGTACAAGTCTTTATGTAGATGTACGTTTTCCTTTTAGCATATACTAGAAGTAGAATAAGCAATAGGCTAGATATTTTAGGACTGCAGGATACCTAAAGATGTATGAGAAAGTTATTTTGATATCATTTAAAGCTTTTTTATTCATTATTATTTTTTAGATACAAGGTCTCACTATGTTGCTCAGGTTGGAGTCTGACTCTTGGGCTCATGTGATCCTCCCACCTCAGCCTCCTGAGTAGTTGGGACTATGGGCACACTTCATCATACCTGGCTGATTTTGCTATCTTAATTTTCTACTCCAAACTATAGTACACAACATTAAATGTCACTGCACTAGTTTGTGGCTTCTTCCTGCTCCTGAGATTTTTTTCTCATGTGTCTGAGGAGATATAAATACCCTCATCTATCATTATCCTTTTTAAGAACAGATAGGTTTGTCCAAGAAGTGTTTGCTACAAAGATTTGCTGACCATTTTTCTAACCAGTTCTAGGGAAGAAATGATTGGCAGTAAAGATATCCAATTATAGCTCCATTACCTCATTTGAGGTGACCTCATTGAGCTGATCGCTCTCTGTTATGAGATAGCAGCAGTAATTAGCAAGCTAATTTGGATAGAGATTTCTTAGAAGAACTGTGCAAGCATTACATGTTCCATTTGTTGTGATAACGTAAAATATCTTTCTGAGACATGCACACAGACCTTGATGTGATTTATTCAAGAACGATAGTCAACAGTCACAATTGGTTACTTCTAGTTTCATTCTGGAGACAGGGAAAAGAAAAAAAACCTCATCAAGTGTATAGTGAATGGAAAGGGGCTTCAGGCTTTAATAGAGGCACTTGACTAAGGGGCTTCTGGCATACTCATACTGTGGCTTTTTCATTAGCAGGCACAGGCGAGCCAGCAATGCATGCTGTTAAAGTACTGACCCTCTCCTTGACAGGAAATCCTCGAGGGAACTGACGAGGCTCTCTCTCCAACTCCCTCATTACACATTAAAGGTATATTTATCTAGCTGAAAGTAAAATGTGGGGTTAGTGTCTAATATGATTTTTACAGGAAACCTGCTGTGTTGCTTCTTACATCTTGCTTTTTCCCCTTATTACTTTTATCTTTTCCCTGCCTTACTTTGCTGTCCTCAGTATTCTCTCAGCATCTCAGGTGACTGTTATAAGACAGAAGTCATGTCAACAATACTACAGATACCTCCAAAAATAGTAAATGTCATATAAGATCTCCCAGATCTCTAATGAAGAATATCAGGAAATAGACTAAAATACAAAATAAAATAAAAGTAAAACAGTAAAGCATCTGAGATACTGCAGTCAAGGATCCAGGTCTCTGTGCAGCAATGACCACAGAAGCCAGGATCTCAAGAACAAAGCAACTAGTAGCAGACACATTACAAATGTAATTAAAAGGAAGTAACCATCTAAATACTGTTTCTAAGATTTTGAACATAAAACTGACCACTTGAACAAATACATATGCAAAGACTAAGGTTGTTTTTTTTTTTTTAATATTTTTCAAATTTTTTGGCTGCCATCCAAAAATTTAGTATGTACAGACCTCGACATATTTTCATATTAGAGCAAAAGCTTTGTGAAACATCATGGTGTACCATGACATTTTCGATTCAAACTATTCTGTTGTCATTAAAATACTGGCCACAATGTACTATGTTCATTGCCGGACTTACTAATGGGGGTCAAAACCTGTACTTTGATAAACATTGATATAAGTGGTAATTAAGGCCTGCTTCAAGATGATGACCTCTGTAGGGCAGGAGAACAAAGAACCAGGCCAAGGGGGAATGTACAGGAGTTAAGCAGAGTTTGGACAATACAATTAAAGAAGGAATTACAGATCAGACCAGCATAAAGGTCATTAGTTACCTAGCATCACCTAGAAGAATTGAACATTAACATTAGAACTGTGTAATCTTTGTGAGTATAACAGTGATTAATATTCTTTATATATCAGTATCATTAAGTTAAACTGAGTATTTTGGTGCCTGTAGTGTTCATGGTATAGCATGGGTTCTGCCATTCTCAACAAATTCTTCTGCTGTCCTCATGACCCCTGTGGTTGTTATGACAACTAGCTGGACTGAGTAGACCCTGTCTATTGCAGTGAGTGTGCTGATGTCCAGGCTACAGAGATCAGACAAACAGTATTACTGACGAAGTACTACTTTAAGAAGACTAATTTCTGCCAGGGGGTACTATATGTAACATTGTGGGTAAGAGTTTGGGCACAGGATTTAGGCATCATTTGTTTACATTTTGTCTCTAATCATTTAATTGCTGGGTTACCATCAGCATGTTAGGTATCTTCAAGTGTTAGTTTCTCACCTATGATAATATAGTAACAGTGGATGTTTCGTTTAGATTAGACTTAGATAAAAAATATAAAGTGCTTATCCTAATGCTTGACACATAGGAAAATTCAATACATGCTAGCTTTCCCACTCCCACCCTGCCTAAGCAGGATGATCCAGCCCTCTAAAAAAATGTGGCTTATCAGGGAGTGATTATTCGTGGAGGATGGAGAGGGCATATATATTTTGAGAATTTCCCACAGGAGATTTGAATATGCCTCCATGAGCCTCAGGTTGGAATTCAAGTTAAGATGTACAGGAGGGTTGATCAGAATGCTTAGAAAAATGATATAAACCTCAATTTATTCAAATCAAAAGAATGGTAAAGGGCTTCAGAAGAGCTCTTGCACAGACACCTTAACCCTGAAGAAGGGTTAGTGGCTGATCCTCCTTGGGAGAGCTTCCATCTGGACCAGTAGCAGTCAGAGTGGCAGTGGGGAGGGGGTGGTGGTAAAGTTCACCTTCTGGAACAAGGTACATCCTCAGGCAAATGGTAGTTTTTATTCAAGAGTAGAATCAGGTAAAAACAAAAATCACAGGCTTCTATTTTAAAACATGGCCTAGATATAAATTTTCTGTTGGAATTTTAGTGAAGGAAATGTTTTTTTAATCTGTATTTGAGATAATTTGGGCTAGAAATTGAGGACCTGTGGAGATAGAAATATTCAAGAAGTAGGACTGGGAAAGAATTGATGAGTTTGGATTAAATATTTTTATTAACCACAAAATAATATATTTTCAAGAGAGGAGCTGAAAAAAAGAGGGAAGTTCTTCAACATGTCAACTACAGGCATCTGGTACTCACCTTCTCTACAAAGAGGAACTAAAATAGTAGATAATTACACGTTGAATAGATAACCCAAGAAGAAACAGTGGAATTCAACAGAGATGTGAAAGGAAACACCTAAGGCAACGAAGGAGCAGAAAACAAGGCAACTTGCTCAGCCCAGAGCGCTATTTCTTTCTGATTTAGGGTTTGATTTACTCTTGTCTAGTTTTTGAGGTGCATAATTAAATTGAGTATTTGTTCCACTTTTTGATGTAGGTGTTTGTTGCAATAAACTCTTAGCAGTGCTTTTGCTGTGTCCTCTGGATTTTGGTATGTTATGTTCCCATTTTCATTTAAGACACTTTTTGACTTCCTGCTTAATAAAGAGTTAATAGTAGCTCCAGAGCATGTTATGTAATTTCCATGAATTTGTACAGCTTCCAAAGTTATTTCTGGTATTAACTTTTTAGTATTTATTTGGTATTGGTATTCTGTTGTGTCCTGAGAAGGTACTTGATTTGATTTTAATTTCTTAAAATTTGTTGGATTTGTTTTGTGACCTAATATACGCTTTATTTTAAAGAATATTTCATGTTCTGATGAGAAGAATGTGTGTGCTGTAGCTGTTGGATGAAATGTTCTATAAATATCTGTTTAGTCCATTTGGTTTAAAATGCAGATTAATTCTAATGTTTCTTTGTTTTCTGCCTAGATGTTCTGTTCAATGCTTAAAGTGGGGTGTTGAATTTTTCAACTATTAATATATTGGAGTCTATTTCTTTAGCTCTCATATTTACTTTATATTCTGTGTGCTCAGTGTTGGGTGGTGTATACTTCTATTTGCCATATCCTGTTGCTGAACTGACCCCTTTATGATTATATAATGAGCTTCCTTGTCTCTTTTCATATTTTCTTTCTTTAAAGTCAATTTTGTCTGATATAGATAGAGCTATTCCCGCAGGCTTTTGGTTTCTATTTGTGTGGAATTTTTTTTTCATCCCTTTACTTTTAGTTTATAGGTCTTTACAGGTGAAGTGATTTTCTTGAAGGAACATATAGTTGGGTGTTTTTTTTTTTTTTATTTTAGAATATCTTTTGTTCTTTTATCTCTCTTTTATGGTTTACTTTTATGATTTTGTGGTCTTAAAAATTGATACAATTTGATATCTTTCTCTCATTTGTCATCTGCTCTACTTTTGTATCTTTTTGTGATAGCTATTCTTTCACTTCCAGATTAGGGCTCCGTAAAGCTTAACAGCTTGAGCATTTCATGTAGAGTCGGTCGGTCAAGTGGTGATGAATTCTCTCAGCTTTTGTTTATCTAGGAAAGATGTTATTTCTCTTTCATTTCTGAAGAATAGCTTTGCCGAGTATAGTATTGTTGGCTAGCAGTTTTCTTTCTTTCAGCACATTGAATATATCATCCCATTCTCTCCTGGCCTGTAAGGTTTCTACTGAGAAAACCGATGTTAATCTGGTAGACATTCCCTCAGATGTGACTTGATGGTTTTTCTCTTGCTGGCTTTAGAATTCTCTCTTTGTCTTTTACTTTGGACACTCACTATTATGTGCCTTGCATAAGACTTTTTTGGATTGAATTTATTTTTGAATCTTTAAGCTTCCTATCACCTGAATTTCTATATCTCTTGATGTAGACATAAAAAGTTTTCAGCTGTTGTTTAACAAAATAGGTTTTTGTCTGCCTTTGTTCATTTCTTCTTCTTTGGAACTTCCAAATTTTAAAAATTTGGTCACTTTTTGGTATCCCCCAAGTCAAACATAGGCTTTCTGCAATCTTTTTAATTCTTCTCTTTTTTTGTCTGACTGGATTATTTTAAATTGGCTGTTTTGAAGTTCAGAAATGATTTCTGCTTGATCTATCTATTGTTAAAGCACTCAATTGTATTTTTTATTTTATTCATAGAATTCTTTAGTTCTAGAATTTGTTTGGTTCTTTTTTTATATCTATGTCTTTATCGAACTTCTCATTCATATCCTGAATTGTTTTTCTGACTTATTTGTTTTGTTTATGTGTCTTCTCATGTGTTTCACTGAGTTTCCTTAAGATCATTATTTTATATTATTTTTCATGCATTTCACAGACTTCTTTTTCTTTGATCTATTTGTGGAGAATTATGATGTTTCTTTGGAGATGTCATGTTTCCCTACTTTTGCATGTTTTTTTGTGCCTCTGGTATAACACTTTCCAATTCTATGGATTGGCTGTCATAAGGAAATACTTTTTTCTATAGGTCTATGTATTGTGTTGATTGGGTAAGATGCTTTGGCTTTGATTCTGAGTGGGTCCAATAGCATAGTCTTTGTACAATTTCTTCAGCTCTGATAATATCATTGGTGTCTGTGAATTCCTCAGTGACTTAGGCTGAGGTTGTTTATAGAGGCTGTGGTGCAGCTTTGCTGGAAATGAGTGGGGCAGTCCTTTGGCCCCTGGATGGTATATGTAGTGTTGGCATTTGCAATGGGATAGGATATATTTTCAGGACTGCAGGTGGCATGCTTGGGCTCTGGAAGCAGGCAGCATGCCAATTCTTAGTCCTTTGGATGGTGCATCTGTCTTCAGGTCTCCCAATGCTGTGTATTGATTCCCAGATGACCTGGGTGGGTGAATGCCAGTAGTGGTGATGGGTGAGATGACCATATCCTTAGAGCTCTGGATGCTGCTGGAAGAAATTAGATAACTGTTTACATCTGGAAAGAATGTCATATGGAAGAAAGGCCAGGCATGTGGTGAACTGAGTTCTAGTTTTGCCTTTGAACTGGCTTTTCAATTTTCTAATCTCCATTATTAAATGAAGGGATGACAAATTACTCACAGTTCATGGCAACGATGGTCAGTTAGTTTGAATATTCATTCATTCATTAAGTACACATAATAAAGTATCATTTTTGGAGCATATAATACCTTAGAAAAGATAAGATAACCATCAGAAAATAAAATACAAGGTAAAGGATGATAATTGTCAGAAGACAGATAATTTCAGAAAAGGGAGAAGGTTTATTTATCTAGGACCATCTGAGATTGCTTCATAGTAGAGATGGACAGCACTTGAATAGATGTTTGAAGGACAGCTAGAATCTGAACAATTTATACTGGGCCATCAGTAGTTAGGAGATAGTTCGGGGAGGGAACTAGCACAAATAAGATCATCGGGTCCGAAAAATTTTAACAAGGTGGGGTGTGGTAAGGAAATAGAATGTAGCCCTGTTTGGGTGGAATGTAGGGTACTTTAGAAGAAACAGTGGAAGATAAAGCCAGAAACAGGAGTTTTTGGAAAAAATATAAGGCCCTGGAGTGCTCTGGAGGCAACAAAGAATGATAGAAGTCTCTAGAAAGAGTTATGCAATGATAAGAGCTGAATATAAACAGGAATTTCATTTTCTTCTTCTTCAATTTTTTTCTTTTTATTGATATAACCTGGACTACCTGGGTTCAAATTCTGTCTTCCCCATTTACTATTCAGGAGAACTTAAGCAAATTATGTAATCTTGCTAAGCATCAGTTTCTAAACCTGTGGGATAATAACCTACCTTATAGGGTTGTTGTAGAAATTAAAAGAAATAATAAGTAGAAGCACTTAACAGAGTGCCTAGTACAAGAGCTGCTCTCACTAAACGATAGCTGCTACTTTCGTTGTTATTTAAGCTATTTAATAGAACAGTTTTGTAGCTCTTTAATGAGGACTTTTCTGTTCAAGTAGGGCCTCTGACCTTTTGGGATAAGAAAAGCCACCTAGTGGCTGTCATTACTATTTTTAACCTCTTGTAATCAGTGACAGTCTCTGGGCCCCAGGGGTTTAAAAGCACTTTGCTAACATTTTTGAATTTGGAGTAATCTGTGCATTCAATCCCAAGCATTTTCTTTCCATCTATGAAAATAGTCCCTTGAAGATTGGCTTAATTGATTTGGTAATTAAAGGAGTTCAGACATTTATAGTGATATTTTATAATGAAAGTCCCAGTCAGTGACTACTTTGGAGGTTTAACTATTTTTTTACCTTAATTCCCATCCTGCTATCAGCTGTTTAAAGCCATGAATTTGGGGTTGAATAGAAACAGCCTGTTTTGTAAGGGCTTAGAGAGACTATCTCTTCCTAGTTGAATGATGTTAGGGTCATGTTTTAAAACGGATGGGAGGGTGGAGGAGGCTCATTTCATTGTTCATCTTGAGTGATGAAAAACGGGCCATGATGTGATGCTCACTTTGTACCTCTTGTACACTTCTAAGGTCAAAATGGTCACTGGATGCCTCCTTCCAATTTGGCATGTCTACGTATCTAAACATAAGCATTAATCCTAAAAGAAGAAATTAAATGACTGAGATTCCAGGATGTTCATAATTGCTAATTACTGCTAATTATTTAAAGATTATTCATATGGGAAAAATTCAACTGTAAATAGAACACCAATAATATATTTTGTCAAAACTTATGAGAAAGTTAATTTATTTTGTGGAAATCAAATGCAATTATTTTATTAAATTATTTGTATGATCATTTTGTACATACATACTTTAAACTATAATTTAATAAGTATGTATAATACATAATAAAATATATACAGTAAAATATATAATAAAATATATCTAATAATATATGTAAGACAGAACTCTTCATGTATAGAGCTTTAAGTCACTTTAATAACAATGACTCCAATTGATCTTCACAACAGTTTTGTGGAATATTAATACACAACTGTTAGTTATTCCCATTTTATTAATGAGGAAACTAAGTTTTAGGAGGTTAAGCAATTTGCCCAAAGAAAATGGTTAATTTTTTTTTGTTACTCACTTGTCCAAATTAGGAATACTACGTGCTATAATTTGAATATTTGACCACTTTAAACCTCATGTTGAAATTTGATCCCAATGTTGGAGGAGGAGGACTAATGGGAGGTATTTAGGTCATGGGGGTGGCAAGGGATGATCATATTTTGCAATATGAGAAGAATATGAATTTTAGGAGGTCAGGGGTGGAATGCTATAGTTGGATACTTGACCTCTCCAAACTGGAAAGATCCCCAGTGTTAGAGAAAGGGCCTAATGGGAAGTGCTTGGGTCATGTGAGCAGATCCCCCATGAATGACTTGGTGCTGTTTTCATGTTAAAGAGTGAGTTTTGCTCTGTTAGTTCCTGCAAGAGTTGGTTGTTAAAAGAACCCAGCACCTCCCTGTTCTCTTCCTTTCTGTCTTGCCATGTGATCTTTGCACATGCTGACTGGCTTTCCCTTTCCACCATGAGTGGAAGTAGTCTGAGGCCCTGACCCAGAAACAAACGCTGCCACCATGCTTCT